TGACTGTAACCATGCATGACAGCATTTAACAGTGCTGCACGTTCAGCAGAGCTAGGAGAAGAGAGGGAGAGACAGATTGAAGCTACAGTATGTTTGCTTGTCCTAGCCAGACTATGGTTTCTGGTTTGTTTAGAGTCTGCATTATCAAATCTGTACTAGCGGTTTAATGACCCAGGGACTTAATCATTTGTTTACAGCGGTCAAAAATCGCCAAGCACCGCATTTCTCTCCTCTAAGATCCATTCTTCACGATATGCGCAGAGCAACTGTTCGACAAAACTGCTTCAGCTTTCCCCTCCAGTGCCTCTAATTCCATTAAACTCATTACAATAAGTGAGCCACACCGGGCTTCAGCAAGCAGAAGCCATAAAGCAATGATTGGGGTAATAATCCGAGCCTTCACTGGGGCATTTTAGCGACTGTTTGAAGAAGCACCATTTGCGGTGCATCGGTCATTGGGCATAGCTAAATGATGTGTTCGCATGCATATAAAGGAAGGCATTAAACATGTCTCTCTCTTCATTTTGGCAGACTGGGCAAGCTCATTAGTGGGGAAATAGCTGCCAGCTGGGTTTTCCTTTGGGAGTTGGCTTCCTTATACCAAGTTCTCAGGCAAAAAAAAATGTGCAACAAACAAATTCACCAAGTGAAATGATTCCAAAAGAGCTCATAACAAGTCCCCGTTTAATAGCCAGGAGGGGATGTTCCACAGCTTTCATAAATAAAAGATTAATTTCCAGAAGACTGGAATGTTTTAACATTAACAGCTTGGATTCCACCTCCACTAGTTTCACTGGAAAATCTGAATAGTATCCATTTAATGAGAGATGCCTCAGGATGACACAAACCAGGCCAAATATAGTTGACTGACTGTTACCACATGGATTCTGTTTTTCTGGTAGTGAAGCAATGAGCTCTGGTTCTGGACGCCACCGGGTCAATAAAGCATACATGTCAGGCTAAAATGCATCATTGCTGGACTGGTAGGGACAGACAGGGGGTTCCATTCTCAAAGCTGAAATGCAGTAAGCATCTCCAGTCTCACAAGGATATGATTTTGTGTTTACACATCCCTCCGAGTTCTTTCTTCCAAAGTAACCTGGCCATACTGGTCTCCACAAAAAAACTTCCTGAGTTGTAAGTAAGAAACAACCATATAGTTAGTGTGTTTCAAAGACCGTAACAGCAATATTCATACTAAAGTCTGAAGGGAGTAATAAAGCCTGTGTTTACTTTAACCATGTAGGCTAATCTGCACAACAAACTTTTATTTTATAAATAAATGTCTATCAAAGTCATATTTATCAGATGCACAGATTAACATCACTGAATCTCATTGATTCCAAATGATGTTTAATACAAAAAATTAGAATGGGTTAATTAATGTGGATTAGATTGGGGACTGTGATTGGGATCAGATCAGATTATCATTGGGGATCAGATATTTATGATCAAAGAATAATAATAATAAATAAATAATAATTAAAAAATCTTGTGTATATCTGACAAAGTTTACAAACTCGTCGTAAACAACATTAACAGTTGTGAAAGAAACTGCATGTGCTCATATTAGATCTGTGTATTATATTATATTATATTATATTATATTATATTATATTATATTATATTATATTATATTATATTATATTATATTTTCCCAGAGATGGGTTGCGGCTGGAAGGGCATCCGCTGCGTAAAAACTTGCTGGATAAGTTGGGAGTTCATTCCGCTGTAGCGACCCCGGCTTAATAAAGAGACTAAGCCGACAAAAAAATGAATGAATGAATGAATGAATGATATTATATTATATTATATTATATTCAGGGCTCGAAATTGTGACTATTTTGGTCGCATATGCACTCGAAATTTAAGCTATGCGACCTCATAATATATTTTGGGAGCATTCATGCGACTGCATACAATAGTTGTAATGTGACCTGTTTTTTTTTTTTTTTTTTCTGAAAACGTGGTAAAATCTGTCTTCCCTGCCGCTATATTGGTTCATATTAGCTGTCAATCACTCAAGACTTTCCACTGTCAGATGAGGGAGGGAGCTTTTGTATGCAAACGGCTGAAGATTGAAAAGTACACTGACTCTCGATGCGTTGCATGCACTGCGTGTTCAGCCAACACAATTTCACAGCAATTCGTAACTTTTTCATACGTTTCCTCGTGAGATTAGGCTGCAACAGCGCAAATGTCCGCTAAAACACCATCGCCAAAGAAGCTTGCCTTTACTGAGTTTAAACTGATACGGGTTATAACAAAGATCCTGCTCTGCCCCCCTCATAAATTGGGCCGGCTGACTCGCATGGTTTTCCGCAAACACAGAAAGATGTAATTCAGCGCGTAACGAGGCTGAGCATTAAAACGACACGAACCGAAACCAAAACTTTTAAAAGTAAGACTTTTCCTCCTTTCTTTTGTCCGTTCTTTCTTGAGGTGTACATTATTTTTCTATTTAATTACTGATGACTGCTTTGCAGCTTTCAGCATTGAATTGAATGATTTAATATATTATTTCGATTGTTTTGTAGCAGAAATATTATTTATTAAATTGACATGCATATAAAAACAATAGTACTAAATAAATATTTCTTACTACATTGCTTCATTTGTGTTTAATGCAAACCATCAATTTATTTTTTATAAAGTAACAGTAGGACTTTATATAGCAGCGCATTCAAGGCAGCATGATGATGATAATATATATATATATATATAGTTGTTGTGCGTCAAAGAGAGTCTGGGAGCCGGTTTGTGTTTTTTGCTGTGTGAGTGATTTGGACTGTCTGGGGCCATTTCCCTGTCTGCAGCTGATTTGACAGGCCTCTCGGTTGTTCCCATGACAGCATGTCACCGGTACCAAACCAAAAGAGCAGCTTAAGTCTGACACACCACTCAATGCTTATGCCTTCTACTGTGCCATAAGTGTGAAACACATTCCTATTTCCTAAACATAAATCATTGTCGATTCTTGTGCCTTGAGTCACAATTTATGTTTTTGACAAGACGTACAGATATCATGCTTTTGCCTTGTTATCTTGTTATATCAAAGAAGCATTAAGGTGACAGATAAAATGCTGATGGAAAGTTCTATGTTTACCTATTGCAGGCTCAAAAAACAGTGAGCATCAACCTAAAGGGAATGCACTAAAATCGTTCAAAACTTGTACAACTTTTTTTCCTCTGCAGAACATAAGAAGAGTTCAGATGCAAACCCCTCTAAATCCCTCAGACCTCTTTTTTTGTAAAGGAGAATTTTCTATCAGGCTGATTAGGTTCAGAAGTTTCATTTTATAGATAATGAAAAGGTTATTAGCTAGTAAATAAAATTAAAAATAATAATAATAAATGTCACTTTAGACAATTCTTTGGTTTTTAACAGGTAGATTTTCTTTTGCATCAAAACCAGCTAAATCTACTTTTTGCAAAAACCTTTAAATCCACCTATTGGGACAAAATTGTAATTATTTGAAAAATCACTAAAATGCAATTAGAAATTATTTTACCAAACATAAAACACATTACACAAACCACCTAAAAAAAAAAAAATACATAAATCTGTCAAGTAAGTGGTGGTTCATTCCACTGTGGCGACCCCTGATAAACCAGGGACTAAGCAGAAGGAAATTAATGACTGAATGAAATCTGTCAAGTAAGTGCATTAATCAATAGCATCAAAATTCACAACAATAAAATCTTAATCTGTTGTCTTTTCTGATATATAGCATTTAGATTTAATGCAAGTAGAACAATGTAAACATTGCAAACATAGTAATTAATGTAGAATAAAAACATTGTGAAACATCAATATCTGTGCATTGTCCATGAATATAAAAAGCTAATCAGACATATAGGTACTATGAGGTAATATAAATAATGTATAGTTTTATAGGTATATCTTTCAAAAATAGCTTACATTAGCAAAAAAAAAAAAAACACAAGGTAGGCCTACTGGCAAAAAGGAGATGTCTCTGAGACACTTTTAAAAGCTGTCATTCATTCATTCTCACAATACTCAAGGTCTTGGTCTCTTTTTCGTCTCTTGTTTATTCTCATAGCATCCATGTGGGATAAAAGAATGGCATCTTTACTTCGTCTTTCATGAAATGGAGTTGCTGTTTAATGTAGCTATAGTAAATCAGACTCATTCGTAAAGCATCACTGAGCAAAAAAAAAAAACGCTATGAATGCATGTCACACCTCCGACTGTACAGTGTGTTTTCTTTTTCTTATAATGTTTTTTTCTCATAAAACTGTGAGTTTTGAGGTAAGGGACGTTTTCATTGGCCATTCACTGACAGTCAGACAGGCTCATCCAATTCATCAAACTTCATCTTTTAAAATCTAAATCAGTAGCAGAATAAATAAAAATATCCTCATAGAGCCAGCGTATTAGCGCACTGTTACATTTAAAACTTACGATTTGATTCACGCCTTCTGATTGGTTCTCAGGATATAGCCGCTTTTGCTGTCAAAGGCAAGTGGCATTTAGAGGCTTTTGCAAACAAACTGTTATTTCTGAATGGGCTAACATTGGGATTCAGATGATTTAAAGCAAAAATATTTTTAGAACATGTGCTACGTACCTAAAGCATTCGCTCAATGTCATTAGCTCATTTTTGGAGTAAGTGGCGATTAGCGGCTTTTGCATCAGAACTCTTCATATGTAAAAAAAAATAATAATAATAATTCTCATAAAATGAAAGCCGCCAGTTGTCAATTGAAATTGTTGTGTACCCACCATCATTCATTGTATGTGAAACAAGAACATTTATACATAAACAGAACAATATAAAATATAATATATAATGTATCACTTTCCAAATTGTTTGTATTTTAATACACCGATAAATTTCATATACAAAAAATATATTTATATAAACAGATCAGAATTACAAACAATTATGTTGTCTTACAATACAGAATGTCTAATGAAAAGCCATGTCAAATCAAATAATACAAGAGACAAAGTGAAACACTTAAATATTTGATACCTCTTGATGGCCTTGTAGCAGATGATGGCAGTCAGGAGGAGGAAGACCACAGATGCACAGATTACAGTCCCCAGTACTAAGATCTCCATTTCTCTCCTCCATGGTGTCATGGGAGATACAGTGGAGGGAGCCACTGCAAGAGAAACAAAGTGTTACAAAGAAAGTAAATCACAAATCACAAAACTAAACAGATCACGTGATTCTCACTTTATTTTATGCTTGGTAAACAACACTCATTGCAATGTGTATGTAGATACACATGTAAAAATACACACACACACATATAGAACTGAAATAGAAAAATCATTGTTTTTTTATCGTTATTACCAACCCCATTTTCTGAACAGTAAGGCAAGGCAAGTTTATATATATATATATATATATATATATATATATATATATATATATATATATATATATATATATATATATATATATATATATATATATATATATACACACACACACACACACACGTGTGTATATATATATATATATATATATATATATATATATATATATATATACGTATATATATATATATATATATATGTATATATAACATATTTCCCACACTATGGTAATGCAAAGTGCTTTACATAAACAAGAATAAAGAAACAAGAAAATAATAACAAATGATTAAAATAATTAAAAACAGATTAAAATGTCTTAAAACAGGTTATAAAAAATGAAAAAGGAAAAAAAAGACATAATAGTTAGATCTGTAGGACATAGCACAGTGCTCAGTCGGTAAAGGCACAGCTAAACACATGATTTGAATGTACCTAATGTTGGAGCACATCTGATCATTTCTGAAAGCTGATTCTTCTTAAAAAAAAACAAAGAATCCTGTCAGCAGCAACTGTGTGACTGTCTTTTTGGGAAGACCAGTGAGGAGTCCATTACAGTAATCCACTCTGCTGGTGATAAAAGCATGAACAAATACAGTACTGCATTTTTTTTTCTTTATTTGATGTTGGTGATGGTTAAAATAGCCAACTCCAGTCATTTATTGCTACTGAGTCATTTCACCTAAGCTAGAGAACAGAACTTCTCCTAGTGGTCTCTCACACCAGTTTAGCTTGATGGCCCAATCACAGGGATGCAGCATTTAGCTCTACTCCATTTATCATTCCGTTTCAAAGAGGCACTTTATTTGGACCATTACACAGCCGTCTCATCCAGAACTATATTAGTGCTTCAGGCTGCTCTACCTTCCCCACCACTTTAAAGTTGGGATGAGTTTTCTCTGGTTGGGAACTGATAGTGGCACCTTGTATACGGAGCCGTTTTAATGCTACTGATAAAATAAAAAAAAAAGCACAGGAGAAGGATAATTAACAAGTTCATTGGCCTCTTGAGCAAACAAGACTACTGCTTTCACTTTCTACTTCTTGCTTTTCAGTCTAAATACCTTTGAGTCACAAAAATAGAGATTTCTGGCTGTTGGCTGTGCGCGAGCCTGATTTCACCAAGTAGGACATGTTCCTGAATTAAAATCTATGTTGATCCTGGAACAACATTACAATCAGCCAATCAGAATTAATGCTTAACGTTTATGTAAAGTTCAGGCTTACTGATAGGTTTATGCACTTCTTCATGATTGTTATCCAACTATTATTCCTCTCTGATTTGGGGAATAATTTACAGTTATTGTTGGGTTTAGGGGTATGGAATATGTATTTTGGAAGAAAAATGATGTTCCAGGATCAACATAGATGCTAATCCAGGAACGCATTATACTTGGCAAAATCATGACGCGTGTTGCCTGTGCTTGGGACTAACAACTCAATTTACAAACAACTGTGTGTCTGTTCTTAAAACAGCTTACAGTAGTGACCTCAAAACAATATTCATTCTAGCATAACGACTTAAACAAGTCATTTTTATAACTATTTTACTGTTTCCACAAACAGTTTAATAGGTCTGAAGTCTATGCCAGAGCCCAATCAAAAATCCAAATTTTTCTCTTTAAAGAGTTAGTTCACCCAAATATGTAAATCATGGTATTAATTACAGACCTAGACGGCATTTCTACACACAAGACTATGTAATGGCACTCTAAGATGAGTGGAGTTTATTTGCTGGTCACAATTATGGATGAGGAGAATACTATATACACAGTCCTGCTTATTAACAGGATAAAATACCTAGAAAAATATCTGTTGAGTACTAACTAACAATGCTTGACCACTGATGTTCTCATATGCTCTCACCATGTGGAGACATGAGTCATATCAAGGCTGTTTACACCACTTTGCATTTTACGAAATATAACTTTTGCTGCTGTTAGATGTGGCATCTAGGCATGGCATGATAATCGGTTACAAAGTTTACCATGGTTTGGAAAAGTCAAGTCAAACTGATAATAATTTCTGTTATATCATTCCTAAGGTATATGTAAGGTTTTTTTTTTGTTTTATGTGTTTTGTCTAGAAATCTGTGTTAATGAAACTAACAAAGAGAGCAGAAGTCAATGACTTATTTGAATTATTTAGCCCGACAAGTTTATTGTTTTCCTAGAGATGGGTTGCGGCTGGAAGGGCATCTGCTGCGTAAAAACATGCTGGATAAGTTGGTGGTTCATTCTGCTGTGGTGACCCCAGATTAATAAAGGGTTCAAGCAGACAAGAAAATGAACAAATGAATGAATGTTTATTGTTCCAAAATATTATACATGTTCCTAAAATAAAATATATTGTGTTCAATGAGGGAAAAGGTTTTTTTTTTACCCAGACATTTAAAAAGAACTTATTTTAGAGCAGTAATCACAATTGCATGATATTTTTATCCAAGTCAGAAACTAATACCAGCCCATAAAGCTTTTGCTGACATCTAAAATCACAACAGTTTTACTTTGAAAACTGTGGTTGCGTTTTAAAATGCAGTACTTTTGAAGATGAGGGCATGCTGGTGCGCATTCGCTTCTTGATTACTGGTGGTTATCTGGAGCATTCTGTATCCTTCATCAAGCCCAGCTCAAATGACCAATATACAAATTTTGGTTTTATTTCGGTGAATATTGGTGGGTGGCAGGTAGGTGTGCGGGGGCCATACCTGTTTACATTGGGATGTGAAAATAAGGGATAAACCCCCCCATTTAAATAAATAGCTATTATAAATAAATTGAATTAAGTTATCAAATCTCATTAACTTTTATTTACTGTATAATTTAAACATTCCGAATAAAGAGCAGCAAATTAATCTTTTATTTAGATTTTTCATTACATTAAATAACAGCTGTCACTTTAAACATGCACAGATCTATAACAAAAGCATTCAATTGCTTTTCTTACTTTTTATGCTCATTTAAGACAAATTTGTTGTGTTTAAAAGGAAACCCACCTAGATCGAACTGTTTATACTGTATGTCGCTACATAAACTGACTGTTTTAAGGATTACATAGAAGGGGCAACAGCGCCTGTAATAGAAAAAAAAATCCCTCCTTTTTTATATTTATTTCAAAGTGTTTTCATGCCTAAATTAAATGAAAGCACAGAACAGATTTACAATTAAGAGCAAGGGGCATTCCCTGGTGGTTTGGCGGTATGGTTTGCATATAGGAAGGCTCGGCCCTTAAAGGTTCAGGCAACCCTGGATAACTTTTTTTTTAATATTAACAGATTTGTGTGTGTTGAGCATCAGTTAAGACAATGTTAGCACCTGTAAGCTTTAATTGTGGGGAAAATTGGATAATTTTGAGCTTTTGTCAGCTAATTTCAGCTTCCGGTTTTAAAATGATTTTTGGGGCGGGATCAAAATCGGCGACGTAGCGCAGTACTGCAAGTGCAATGATGACGCGTCGGTTTTCTCATTATTATTCATAGCGAAGTTTTCTTATCCTATGAGAAGAGCAAGCTGCTTAATTATTCATGAGACCTGCCAGAGTCAAGCCCGAGCTGTGACACACGTCACGGACCCACGGGCACACAGTATTTAGCCGTTCATGAAGGCTCATATGCGTTTGTTTCCATGATCCACGCGGTTTGTTGCATGTTTTCCCCCGCGATCTTGTCAGGGCCGATCATACAGCAAAGCTGTGTGTGTGCTGCTAGCATTTTTTGTCGGGAGAGCAGCACGAGAATTAGAGAATGGCGGACGCTGTCTTTTATCAGGAGTTCGTTCACATTCAGACACATCACTGTGCTGCTGTGTTTGCCTAAATCCTCCAGATTACCAGCAGGGCTAATGGTTAAAATAGACAGGTCAGGAGACCTGCTGCACTGAGTCTGCTGGATACGGGGATTAAGAGAGAAGTCCCCATTTATACGGTTTACATGAACACACTTATCTTTATAATTATATAAATTGTGGTTATGTGTATATGAAATTACGAATAACAAATGTAGCAGGGCATTAAATCACTATTTATTTCTTTGCATTTTAACTTTGTAAACTATAAACTCAAGCGTCTCCTCACGGTTTGTCTCATTTTGTGAGCTAGCTTCATTCGCTTACGTTCTCCCCTGCTGGCCACGCCCACTCCTGTTCGATGCTCGCGGAGCTCCACGCCCATTAATCATGCATCTTTTGAAAAAATTCTGAAGTAGACTTTAACCGAAAGTGGGGGGTGTCATGGCCCTTTAAATGTTTATTGCTACCCTTCATAGAAATATTTAAAAAATGGGAGAAATACAGGAAAACACCTTTACTAGATGATAGTGGGATAGAATGGTAAAATACAGGAGAATACCATAAAAAACTGGACAGTTGACAGGTATGGCGGGGGCTCAGTGGTGACTTGGGGCTTGGTGGTGGGTGGAGTTTAGGAAGGGGTACTTCGGTTCTCTATGAGAGTATCACGATTTGTACCATAGAGGACACATTGCACTTTTTTCTGTTCGGTTTGAATATCAGACACCCTGGTATAAAAAATTGTTATGTGTAAAAACAGAAGTATTTTTTGGGCTTCAGTCACTTCTGATCTTCAACAATTTATGTCAAAGTTCATCAACAATCTTTCTAATAAAAAAAACTAGACTGCAGCTTATTTTGTAGGGTTGTTGTTTTTAGCCATTGCGTCAGTCATTTAGTCACAAATCATTCTAATATGCTAAAGCTTTAGGGCAAATAATTGGGAATAGAAAGTGCATATATGAACTCTGTGACCTTATTTAAATGTTAACGTGGAC